TTTGAATCACCAGTCTTCTGGTTAGCAGTCAAGTGCCTTAGGCACTACGCTATCACTGTGTTAGTAGAGAGGACAGATTATTTTATATTCTTACTGTTTAGGGAGAAGGAGCCCTAGTGTAGTGCAGTAGTTCAGTGCTGAGCTGCTAACCAAAATATGGGCTGTTCAAACCCTTCATCACTATGGGAGAAAGATGTGATGGTTGGCTTCCACAGAGATTTACAAACTTGGAAACCCTGATCTGTTGTCAGGTGTCACTGAGTAAGTTCCGGGGAGTGACCCTGTGTACAGCAGAGTGAAACTGCCCGGTCACCCTGCAGTCGTTGCTGTGTTGGAGCCACTGTGTAGTCTCTCACCACTGACGGTCTTTCTCTTTGGCAGACTCTCTACCAGGCATACTGCCCTCCAGGTCCTGGTCCCTCTTGTCATGTCCAAAGTAGGTGAGATGAAGGTTGGCCATCCTCACAAGGGATATTCTGGCCATACTTCTAAGACGGAATCCTTCTGGCATCCCATAGCATATTCAGTACTCTTGGCCAACACCGTAACTCAGATGCATCACAGTTCATCCTTCACATGCATATGAGACAGTTGACAGTACCATGGCTTTGGTCAGGTGAATCTTAGTCCTCAAGATGACATCATTACTTAAGAAAACTTGAAAGAGGTCTTTTGCAGCAGACCTGCCCAGTGCAGTGCATCATTTAATTCCTTGACCACTGCTTCCATGGGTGTTTGTGGATCCTAGTAAAATAAAATCCTTGACTACTTCGGTTTCTCCATTTACCAAGATGTTGCTTTGGTCCATTGTAAAGATTTTTGTTTATGTTGAGATGTAATCCACATATCCTATTCTGCTTAAACGACTTCCTCTTGGTTTTTATCCAGGTTCCGCATGAGCAAAATTAAGTGTTCTGGAATTCCTGTCCTTTGCAGTGTTAACCATTATTTGTTATGATCCACACAGTCAGATGCCTTTGCATAGTCAATAAAATACAGATAAACGTCTTTCTGGTATTGTCTGCTTTTAGCCAAGATCCATCTGACATCAGTGATAGCCCTTGTTCTGTGTCCTCTTTTGAATCTGGCTTGAAACCCTGGCAGTTCCCTGTCGATACACTCCTGCAACTGTTTTTGAGTTACTTGCTTATGGTATTCATGATATTGTTCAAAAATTTCCACATTCTGTTGGATCATCTTTAGAATGGGCACAAATAAAGATCTCTTCCAGTTGGATGGCCAGGTAGCTGTCTTCTAAATTTCTTGTCATAGAGGAGTGACCACTTTAAAGGGTTGCATCTGGATGTTGAAACATCTCATAGGTATTGGATCAACTCCTGGGTCTTGTTTTTCTCCGATGCCTTCACTGCAGATTGGACTTCTTCCTTCAGTGCTACTGGTTCTTGATCATATGCTACCTCCTGATACGGTTGAATGTCAGTTATTTTTGGTACGTGACTGTTCCATCTCTTTATCTTTTTTTTTTTTTTTTTTTAAATACTGTCATCTTTTGACGTTTCCTTCATCTTTCAGTATTGCAACTGGAGGCTTGAATTTTTTCCGATCTTCAGCTTGAGAAATGCCAGGCATGTTCTTTCCCTTTTGATTCTAACTTTAGGTCTTGGTACATTTCATTGTAATAGTTGGTCTTCTCAGGCCTCCCTTTGAAGTCTTCTGCAAAAACGGCAAGGAGGCCACATGTTCTGACCTCCTCTAACCCTACAAGAGGAAGACAGGATTACCAGCAGTAACCCAAGGCCTATTCCTGCCAGGCCAGACATGCTGCCTCCCCCCTCCAGCCCTTGCTCCAACTGTTCCTCCCAAAGCACCCACCACCTCTCTCCTGGG